TGTTGTGTTACGTAAAAAGAAAAGGAATAAAAATTTTATTGATGAAGAAATGGTAACGTTTTTCGAGAAGTCACCAGAAAATTCTATTACAGACTTTTCTTCTGGCTCTGATGACAATTATGAACCTAGCAAGAGTTCAGCATCTGAAACGGGTGAAGCGGAACCAGAAAAACTTACAGTTTTATAGACTAAACGTTTGATAATGAAACCATTACATCTACATCACCGGAAACACTACTCGAAAAAATTTTGTAAAGTACTAATCTAAGTGAAAATGTAAAAAAGCAATAAAAAAAATTAAAAAAAAAAAGAATTCAAAGCAAAAGAACGTTACAACGGAATTTGCAACTGCCAACACAATTGCGTTGAAAAATTTCCTTAAGATGCAAGAATTAATAGTAATAATTCATATTGAAAGCTGGGTGATTATGGAAAGAAAAGATTATTTCTAAAACATACTTTCACACACAAAGTATATACAAGAAAACGACCGCGAATGTCTCGAAAAAATTTTACGCCTTGTTATACATTGTATGGTAAAACCGTTTGCAAAAAAGCTTAACTTAAGCATTATAAAATACACATAAAAGTTGGCTAGCATACTTATAAAAGAATCTTTAATACAAAATTTAATAACTCGTTTCATGTGCGCAATATGAAAACATGATCAATCAATCTTAGTTAGAAACATTCAGTAGCATTTTATCAAAACTTGGCAACAAATTAATTTTTAAAACTAAGTTTCAAAATTTCAAGTAGAAATAATGTACATTTGAATTATCTTTTATGTTAATATTATTTATTTTTGTTTACGACTTTTCATGTTACATTAATATCGATAAAAATACCTGTTTATATTTTCATACGTTGAGTTAAAGTATGTAATGTTAATTTTGTTTCTCAAATTATATTAATTTTTTACAAAATAAAATAACGTATAAATAAAAATGAAATGGTGTATACCATACAAAAAAATTAAAATGAAACAGTGTATAACTTTCTTCATACAATTTCTACCAAAAATAAAATAGTGTAAGAAGTACCAAGAAATTTCAAACCTCTAATTTTCTAAGATCTACAAAAATTTATTTAATCAAATTTATGCAAATAAACTATTTATTCCCCCAAAAATGTTTAACATAACTTTTCAGGATAGTCAAAGATGGCAACCGGAAGATTTTAGATTCGAAACTTCATTTTTATTTTGCAAAAAACTTCAAACGCGATTTACTCAAAACTATACCTTTTTTTATACACTGTTTTATTTCTCAGCCGACGATATATCCACATATATATACACGGACGTGTATGTAACATAAAATATTGATAGTGGGCCGCATTTAATAAAACCATATTTCTCGTTATCGGTTAAATAAAATAAAAATAAGCAAAAACAAAAAAAAAATTCATGGCCAGAAAATTCATTTCAGCGAGCTCTTAAAGATTATTCTCGGCAATTTTTTTAAATATATAAGTACATATGTACATAATATTATGCTTTTAAATAATGATAGAACCTAAATGCAACACAACTATACCACCCACACGTTTAATTTTTATAATTATTTCGATGATAAATGTACGTACAATTATTCATACTTACATATTATGTATAATGTAATAAAAATGTAAAATATTTGCAACTACTTATTGGTGAATGGCTTGTTTTAAATTTAATATGATTTTATGCAAAACATTTCTCAGCCCTTGTTTTCTAAATGAATTTTATTTAAATAAAAAGGCGTTCAGAAAATGAAATTGCTTTTTTTTTTTTTGTAATTTTAATATAAGCTAGAGATAACATTAGCCAAATGTTTACGTATAAATGTCACATACATATATTTCTAGTTATTTAATTGGAAATTATCTTAATTTTGATATTTTATATGGGAGTACAATAATATCGTAAATGTGCGTTAAATATTGCTCTAACTACACATTGTTAGTACATTTATATTATAGATAAGGATAGAAAACAAAAAAAATAAACCAAAATTGGTTGGGTCAAACCAATGGTTTGTAATGTAGCACTTTCTCTGCAACAAGTGAAAATATTGCTTTTAAAAACCATCTACTACATTATTAAAATTGCTTTCATTCATATACGGAAATATTCAAAGATTGCATTTTAGGATCAGGCAAAAACAAAAATTGAGAGGCGTTAACATAATGCTCGAATTTATGGGTTAATTGTTGTGTTAATAAAATGATAATATAATATTTTTTAATGGAATGGTAATAACCCTTGGCTTTATTCACTTATAGCCAAGGGTTAGTGCCATTCAATTCAGCAATTTGGAAAAGGTTTCAGTTTCGTAAATAAGTATATGGTGTTCCAAAAATTCAAATTTAACTATTTTTTAAAAGATGCTTAAATTTCTGACTCCTACAGCCTGCAGTATAGAAGAAAAACGGCCATTTTGTTTTTTTAAGGTTAAAATATGATATGTTGTGGCGGAAGAAGCCGATCAATACTTTTTTACGTTTGAAAAATGCTTATCGTTTCGCTGCAATAAAAAGTTAGAAAATGCATTTTTGGAGTTTGGATAAAAATTATTTCTATCTTCAAGGATGTAGAAATTTTATAAACGGGTCCACGGACAAACGGACAGAGTAAAACTAATTAGCACTTTTTTCCAAATTTTTTTTTGGAAAAGTACTAAAAACGGATTTTTTTTTATAATTTTGATTTGAAATTAAAGTAGAAATTTAAATATTTTTTTTTTTGTGGTATTTTGGTTCGTGTATAAATTTGTTTTTGATAAAAATTCCAAAATTGTTAATCTATGTTCAACTTGTCGATAATATACAATATTTTACATAATCTATTTTAGATACACTACTTATGTACAGTGCACAATCATACACGTATACATATGTATGTATGTATATATTCACGAGTAAATAGAAAATTTTTGATTTAAAAAACATTTTTAAAATTGTTCAGCTTATTTTTGGTTTTATATTAATTAGCTTATTTACATATTTAGAAAGTATGCATTAAATAATCTTTTTTTCCAGGAAATATTACAATTTTATGGTAAGCAAATTTAAGGATAATATTTATTTTAGTAATCTAACTTAGCATATACTTATAACAATATGTAGCCATTATCAACAAATTTTAACAGGAAATTTATTAAAATTAATAATAATTGTTAGAAAAATTATTAAGAATTTTAATATTAAAAAATAATTAAGCAGTTGATTGTATTTAATATTATAGGCTTAAAATAAAAAAATTATTAATGGAAATATTAATTAAAGCTATACTTATAGGGACGTTTCAAAAATTATTTTGTAAAATTCAGAAAAATTGAAAAGACATTTCATTATAGATTGATTATGAATGGTTTTTGGGGTTGCTAGAAATCTATAGAGATTCTGGCGATATACTTACATACTTATATGATAAAGTTTACAAAGTTAATATGAATGTAAGATATACAAGAATAATTTTCGCTTTTCCATTAGAAATTAGATTTGTTTTTCAAATTACCCATAAGTATTTACAATTAGAAATAAAAATATTTAAATAAATTATCATTAAATAGGTACATAATTTAAAAATGTTGGTATTTTTTTTTCCATTACTGATATGATTTATTAAGAGACTACACAATTAAAAAGAATAGAAAATTTTAATAAATCACTAAAAATCTATAAATTGCCGATTATTAGTTCTCATTAGAAAATTATATTCAAGTTTCGTGTTAATTAGCAATTTGTTATAATGTTCATTAAGAATAATAAAATATACGTGTACGTGTAAACTTATTTATGTTTATTTTACTAACGTACATACACTTCCTTATTAGGAAAACTTGTAAGCAAGAATGTACTAATCGACAAATTTATATTTATTTTAAATGTTAAATATTTAATAAGTATTATTAATTTTTTTTTAATATTCTCTAAAATTAATTGAACAGTGTTTCATGTGGGAATGCTATTTGTTATAATCTAAAAGTAAAAACTAGTTAATAATTTAAAATATTAAGCCGCTGACGTTTATTTTTCATATACTTACAGAAATGTTAAGTTATTTACAATCTACAGAAATAAATATAAAATTATATTCCCTACATGTACATACATAAGTATGTATATGTATATGGGCTGATAGTTGACGGTGGTATATAAGTAACTATACTGTTACATCGCATAGAGTGTTTCATTTCATAAAATATGTCCTTTCATTTTTATTTCTAATTAAATACAAATATTTCGTGGATTTCACGTAGATTTCAAATAAATAAAAAGCAAATTTATACATATTTAAATATACATATTTAAATTCAATTACTTAATTACTTTAAATAATTAAAGTAACTAAGAGAAATTTCTAAAAAACTAATTACTAACTTATTACTACTAGCAACTACCGATTTATTGTCTATACTTATATCTATGAAAGTATGTATGTATGTACTTTCTTTTACAATAGCATTATGTATGAATATGTACATATGTATACGTACTTTAATATATAAGTATAAGAGTATAAATATATTTTGCAAATTTTTTATCTAAATAAGGTTTTGCGACAATAAGTACTTTGTACTTGTATTATACGTGTCAAAAACGTTAAAAATTAAAAATGAGTAAAAATTATATGATGTAAGTACATATACTATAGATATATACATATCAACATATGGAAATGCCGGTTTAAGTAAAGTACACATATATGTACATACATACATATTAAGTTCTGTAATTTTAAAATGGCAGAAATATATGAAAAAGCATTGACCTTAAGTAATTAATGTTTAAAAAAATTAGTAAGTAATGATTGTTATATAATTTTTATTCCTTATTACTTGGATATTATTGTTTTTTAAATGATAAATTAAATTAATGTGCATGAAACAGTAAAGAAGTGTAATAAGTAATTTGCCATTAAGATTAGTAGATTTCATATTTTTAACAGTTATTGAGTACTTATACGTAAGTATGTATAACAATTATTGTAATAAAATAATTAATAAAATACTTACATCTACTATGTAGTATATATAATTCATTGTAAATTATATTTTAAGTGTATGTGTATGTATATAAATTTTATTTAATGTCCGAATTTTTTTTTTCGAGAATTTTTCACTTTATCGAGAATTTTATTTAAAAATAAAAATTAATCAAAAATAACACTTCTTTAATTTTAATTTTAATTTTAATACAAAAAAAATATAAAATTTAATTAAACACATTGAAGTTAAGTAACAATATTGTTTTGTGTTTATACATACATACATACATATACGTACATATACACATCTGTATACGCCCAATAAAAATTATATTGATAAAAGAGTATAGCTAAGCTAGATATTTTTTTTGTTTATTGGTTTTGATTTTTATTTTTTTTCTTTCGTTTTCTAGTTGATTGATTGATTTGTGTGTTTTGTTGTATTGTGACTATAATTTTAATATCTAAAATAAAAACAAAAAAAATTTTGTTTTATGAATATTTAATTTTCTTTTCTACAATATAAATATGGTTTATTCGTTAGTATCTTAGAACACGAGTAATAAATTTTTTCGATAATTATTTATTTATTAGTTTTAACATAATTATATTATTGTTGTTGTATGGTAGATAAGCGTGTGTATATATACTTATCTAATAAAAATGTATACGTACGCATATACACTAACAATTATGTAATATATAATTGTGTGTATGTACTTAGATATAAATTATTTATTTATTCTTCTTCTTTTTGTTTTGTTTTATTGCAATTTCATTATTATAATTTTTGTTTTTTGCTACGATACACAGAGGAAAATGACATCATCCGGAAGAAAAAAGTAACAATAATAATAATAAGGTATACGCGGGGTGAGGCAAATACAGAGTAAATACAGTGAAGCTATAAAAAAAGAAAATACAAAATAAAAGCAGCAGAACAAAAAAACAAAAAATATTGCGAAAAATTAATACAAAAAAAAATCTATGTGAACCTTTATATTTTACTTCAATGAAAAATTTTTATATGTAAGTAAACTGTAAAATTATTTACATATGCATGTACATATGCATACATATGTATACATATAAAAAATGTGTATAGAAATAATCATATTGTATTCTGTTGCAAATTGGTACAGAAATGTGGTGTAGGCGATTTCCTTTCCGTTTTTTTTTCTCCTTTTTTTTTATTACATGTAGAATGTATGTGATTATAAAATGTAAAAATGTAAGAAGGGTGTAAGCATCATGATGGATAAATATTGTATCTATATAATAATGTAAAACTAAAAAATAATATTTTATAAAGCATTTTACGAAGATAAAGAAGAGGATATTTCATATCTAAAGAATTTTATTCATGTGCCATAATAATATTATACTTAATTCATGTAAGTACACAGTATTATTTGCTGTAATATATCCATAATGTATGTATATGCATAAATATTCATATACTTATATACTTGCATATGTAAAAATTGCTGTTAAAAATATATTGTTTAGCAGAAGAATGCATCAAGTAATAATTATTATTTTTTTGTTTTAATATTATTATAATATCCGGATTTTCTATATTCATACATACATATATGTATATATACAAGAAATTGTAAAAGATACATATTGTAAATGAATCATTTGAAATGAAAAAAAACAATATTCAAAATAGAAAATAAATTCATAATGCAAGTATTTACATACACGCATAACAATTACATATTTTATTTTAAAAAATTGAAATTGAACAAAAATTCTTTGTTATAATTATGGAATACACAAAATTTGATAGATATAGATGGAGGGGAAATGACGGTTTGAAAATCAAAAATCGGGTGACATATGGTATAAGTACATAATTCTACTTACATGTATTATAAAATCTACATGATACTTGTGTAAATTTTTTTATTTAATATTTTTAAAGAATAAAGAAATTTTAAATAAAAACTTTATGAAAAATTTGAAAATCCGCTATTTGCTTATATACATATTTACGCATATAAAATACCTATAAAATATTCATTTGATCTTTGAAAAACTTTATGTCTAAGCGCATACAAAAATTATCGTACTTGTATATACTTTACGCATGTTAGGAATATATTTATATATGTATACGTCAATATTGTAGACATGACATACATAAATATTGTGGGACAGTTAAGACTTTGTACTTGTTAAAAATTTTAATTTTGTTTTGGCAATAACGCTTTAAATTAATAATTCCATACAATGAAAATGGAACAATCTTCAAAATGAAAGAATCCCTTCCAGACTTTTTAGTGTATTTTTACTAATTAACATTAATATTTGTTTAAATATTGTAGCTATTCTAGTAAGTATACATAATTAATTTGTTTAGTATTTTGATAAACTTAATATATGAAATCAGCTGTGCTGTTAATTTAAAATTTTAATATAATGAAAATATTTGGTATATTAACATTTTTGTATTATAATAATTTTTTAACATTATTAACAATTTTAGCAAAAACAAGTAAGTAAATATAAGTAAGTACTTACTTACTTACTTAAGTAATCAAGTAATATATAAAATATACATTATCAATATTTGTAGATAAAAATGATAACTGATTATAGGAACTAAAATTGTTGTCTATACTTAGTTGTTTCATAATTTATTTTGTTTACAAATAAGTAAAATAAATACTTTTACAAAATGCTCATATAGAACGTTTGCGTTTATTTGAAAATATTTGTAGTTTTTGTATTAAAAAAAGAATTTAGAAAGAAAGCAATAAGTAATTGATAATTTATTTAATATACTAGTATTTATTAACTTTATAGTCAGAAAATAATAAAATTTCTGATAGTTATACATTTAACATTATTCATAAAATTTGTAATAATGTGTGGTTTTTCAAAACTTTGTGGTCAATTTCAATTTTTCTAAAAATTTTAAAGGAAAACAAAATGCATACTTAATTGTACATACTTATAAAATATTTAAGTATTTTGTTGATACCCATCCCCGAAGATTATAACAATGTCAATTAAATATTCCGATATTTTTAATTATCAAATAAGTGCATAATATAAGTATTTATCAACTCCACGATATGGATGTATATCTACAGTTATATATACATATATATACGATATAATTTATCTATATATATCATCGATATATACCTATATATATTTGAATATAAAATTATTTATTTATCAATTATAAAACTATTATATAGCATTATGTAATTAATATTAATGATCATTTAAAGTAAAAGTTAACATGTTATAAACCATGACTATATAATAACAATTTATGGTCTATACATGAACGCAAATTAGATTTTTGAATTCTTAATAATTTTTAAATAAAAATTTTTCTTAGAAAAGTATTTTGAGTTCATGTAGCTTATGATTTAATATAACTACTAAGCAATCGTAAATATGATAAAGATTTAGTTAAACAATTAAAAAAATAATTCAATTAAGTTTTTTATTATATTATAACTAAAGATTATTGTTATTACTGAACACGTGTGTAAAATATAAAAAATATTGCTTACTCACTTTAAATTTTTTGAGAAAATTAGAAAAAAAAAATAATATAGGTATAATGTAGGTATAGGTACCTATAATACTTATTTACGTTATATTCTGGTTTAAAATTACTCACATATTAAATAATAAATTATAGAAATTTATTTTTAAGTGTAAGAGAATTTAATTAGACAATTACTTATATATTTGTTTTTTAAGTTTATTTATAATTAAATTTTCGGTATATTCTTAGCACAATTGCTTAAATCATTATAATAAACTTCAGAGACAATAATATAAGTACATAAGTAAGTAATAATAATAAAATTTACTTTAAAAAAAATTAAAATTTACTATAACTTAGCAGGTATATTAGTACCAATTGTAATGATGTCATATAATACTAATGTCGGCAAATTAATTTTCGAAAAAAAAAATAAACAAATTTATAAATAATCGTAAAAAATTTTCCAGAATCTATGACTCTCTAACACTATTAAGTATAATTACTATTATATAAATGATATTAACTAATTTGAATTTTGCTTATAAGTGTAATAAAACTTACCGGTTAACAATACACAGTCTTTTTTATTTCTTGTTATAATTTTTATATTTAAAATGACGTCACAACCTATTAATTTCAATATAAAATAAAAAAAAATTATTATTTTTTCTTCTCTTATTTTACTTTTTTGATTTCTTTTTTTTTTGTAATTCACATTTTAATATATGATATTTTGATTACACACATTATTATGCACATATGTATGTATGTATGTATGTAATATTTATTATAAAATTTTATACCTATTAATAAATTAAACATTATTATTAAATATTTTATTAATTTATGTAATTAATTTTGTCGTATTACGGTATTTAAGTGTGTATATTTAAAATTTGTTATTATTACAATATAATTCGAGGAATTCTGGTAATTTTTTTAATATCGTCAACAAAACAATTCTACGACCTCATATAGGTAGGCATACACATTCAAAGATAATAAATATTCGTATGTATGTCTGTATGTATGCATATTTGTATTAAAACTGGATTATTAAATTAATATGTAAGTAAATAAAAAGTTAACAGATATTGTACATACCCACATACAAATTTTATAAGACTTTTTATTTTATTTTTATTTAAATAATATTTTTTTTTTTTAGGTTTTTTGCCCAAAACTTCTTATCAATAAAAAATACAAAGGTTATCAAAATAAATGTACGTACATTCTTTTTTTTTCTGTGAACTTCTTTTTCACTTTTATATCTTATTGTTGGTTTTTGGTTTTTATTTTTTACTTTTTGATTTTGTTATTTTATTTCCTGATAACAGACTAATTATAGAAATTTTTATTAGAAGTTAATTAATTAAACAAATACATATAAAGCATATGCGATGTGTGTGCCTATATGTCGCGTTTATAGAATATAAATATATATGTATGTATGTATTTGTAATAATTATTTTTTTTTTCTGTTTTTGAAACAGATGAAATATATTTACATATGTAACTTTAGCAAAACAATTCAAAAAAAAAATTGAAAATTTCATGCAACTTTTTTCTGAAATGTTTGTAAATTTTTTCAAATTAAGTACCTGTTTACATATATATAGATGTGCATGCACTAATAATGTACATATACATATATTATGTATATGAAAAATAATTTTTTACAAAATTTTGAATTATCTAAATATTTTTTTTTTATTAAGTTTCAATACAAATGATATTAAAATTGTTATTATTATTTAATTTCTGTTCTTATTATTCAAATACTAATATTAAATTAAAAAAAAAATTAAAAATTTTAAATTTTTTCTTAACACAACGATTATGACTAATCGAAATGTCTTGAGAATTAATTAAGTAAAAAATCTACAAAGTAAGTAAGCAAATATGCATAACACCTTAACACATTTTTTTTTTGTATTTTTTTATTTTTCTTTTGTCATAACACAATAATACTTTTTTTTTTCTTTACACATGTCCACAAATATGTATGTATATATGTATGTATGTATGTATAATTAAATTATAAAAACACATATTATTATACATATATTATTTTGCTCAAAATTATTTTTTTATCGTATTTTAATAAATTAATACGGTATTGTGTTGTGATTATACTGTGAATCAACAAAATATAAAAAAACAAAAATTTTTGCTATTATTTACCATTAATTTTTTTCTTCTTCTTTTTTTTTCTTATTAAAATTATTTACTAAATATTAATGCAACAAAAATCAATTTATATTGCTATATTTTTTAGTAACTTGAGGTATTCATCAAAAACGAAAAAATAAAATTTATTTTACATATAGAAAAATATCTGTACAACAAAAAATGAATAATCCATGTATGAATAATTATTATTGGTATATATGTATGTACGTATTTATTTATACAGGTACATAATATTATAATTTTTTTTATATTTAAAAAGTAAAAACAAAAATAATACGAAAAAAAAATAACTAAACAAAAAAAAAAGTGTATATTATATTTAATTTAAACTACTACACATAACAACGAAACAACGGACCCGACCCGACAGCAATCAAATGAATGAATCGCGTGCTAATGCTATATTAACACTAAAACGATTGACTGAATGATGAATTTTATGGCGATTTTTTATTTTTTTGTTTTGTTTTTTTTTTTTTGTTGTGTAGTTGTGTTATATTTATATTTTAAATTTATAAAGATACTGAAGAGCTGAATAAGTTAATTATGTATATTCATAGTCAGGGGTCCCAACTATATACTAGTAGAATTTCTTTTTTTTTTTTGCGTTTGCCAATCTTTGAAAGGTTAAAGGTCTTTAATAAAAATTTTATATTTTGTTCAACAATGTCAAGTTGTTCAAATTACTGGCAGTAATGTTTTCCCGCCAATTGAACAGAAATTAAACTGGCAACTAGAAATATTTCAGTAAATTAGTTAATATATTTGTTCATAGCAATTTATTGTTATCACAACTTTCTTATCGATAACCAGTCTATATAAACAATCAGTTAATTAAGCATATCACTTAGCTAGAAATAAAATTTTTCGTTTCATACACATATGTATATAAAATAAATATAAAAAAATCTCAAAAAATAATAATAAATGTCTTAGTAAATATTAAAGATAAAAAACATTACCTCAATGAGTACAAATTTCTGTTCTGAAAATTGTACTCATTTTCAAAGAAATATTGTTAATTGTTCAATAGTGGAAGTCACAATGCAGTATATGTTCCAAAATAAATAAATACTTCGCTATTCTGTTAAATTATTTTTACTCTAAATTTTCTTCCTTTCACTTTCTTTATTTTTCCTACTTACTTGCTTACTTAAATCAACTTACTAAATATTTTTAAAGTTGGAGCCTCTGCTCACTGCAAAGCTACTACAGTCTACACCGTACACGTACCCTCTTTTTCAATCAAATAAACCACCGTTAACGTCGTATGAGTGTAGTATTATATTATTCTCTCTTAATACAAAAGAAAAGCAGAAGAAGAAGAAAAATATTCTCTTTTATCCTCATAATTTTCTCTCCATTTATTTTTTTTGTTCAGTTTTTTTTTGATAATACAAAATACAGTACTGGTAAATTACATTACAATATTATGGTAATGGTATATGATTTTATTTTTTCTAAATTTTTCTAATTTTTAATTTAATGGAATCATACTGTAAGTATTCTAGTAGTAGAATTTAAAAAAAATTTAACATAAATATTTGACTATAGAATTCTTTTAATAATTATGTATAATAAAATCTACAAACTTATCTTAAATATAAAAATAAATAATTTATGTATGTTATGAAAGAAATCCACAAAATAGCACTTCGCTTCAAGTAATAAAAGTAGTTGCTAATACAGCAAATAAAAGTAGTTGACCAAAAAATAAAAATCTAATCTAGAGTAAAAATCAATTTGATCGTAAATCGTAGCATAATCAGTGCTTAGTTCAAAAAAATTTATTTACCTATGTATGTACAAATGTGTGTACGTATGCATGTTTAAAAAGTTATTTTTTGTCAGAAACAATATTACAAAATTTCAGGCAGTCCAATAACACAAACATATATAAATATTTATATTTCATATAGTAAAAGTGTTATGTGTACTAATATCTTCATTGAAAAGTTGAATGAGCTTAGCGTATATGTCCTTAATTATATTAAGTACGTATAACAACTTATAAAAGACCTAAGGCGAATTTATCACAGTATTATATTTTAATATTCAAATTAATGCAGGTACGCCTTACACTGTGTCAATTTTGTTAGTTCATAATTAATAATAATAAATTTTTTACAGTTATTACAGTTATTCAGTTATACTAAAATAATAAATTAAAAAAACAGTACTAGAGAAACCAGCAATTTAGACTTATAATTTTCTCTGTGAATACATGGATTGGATATGAAAGGAGAAAGAAATAAAAGTGACAGTATTTTTTTTAAATATTAAAGAGAATTTTGTTTTCGTTTATATTAAATTTGTGAGTCTCTTTTTTGAATGTGTGTAAGTGTGTTGTGTTTGTGTATTCAAATTTAAACTTTATTAAAAATAATATTGTTATACTATTTGTTGTGAACATGTATAAGCAGTGTTTCTAAAAATGTAATAAAATGTCGCACACTATTGAGCAATACCATATAATATCTTTTGACTCGCTCCAAACAAATACTGCGAATACAAATCTTTTTATACATTATAATATTATTATATTTTGTTATAAAAGAATGTGGAGGGTGCAAGTGCGAGGAATCGCAAAAAAAAAAGTGAAAATTATTTGTTTCTTTACCACGATAATAAGAAAGAAACAAAAAAAATTTTTTTTTCCTTTTTATTATTTAAAACTTATTATGTATACTTTTTTCCCGTTTTTATCAGTGTATTCCATTATCATATCCATATAAAGCAATCTTAAATAACAGTAGTGGAAATAAAATTTATTGTGTGTTGATTTTAAGTTATTTTTTTGGTTAAGCTTAATTTGATGGTGATGAATCATAAAAAAAAATAAAATATTTTGTAATTTGTTTTGAATTTTTGCATTCCGGTTAATCGAGTTTAATCAACAATTTTGTGATTGCTGACGATTGTATATTACTTTTCATAAATTGTATACTAAAATTAGAAATAAATTTAAAATGTTTTTAAAGAGTCACACTTGAATATAAAGCTTTTTACATACATACAAACATACATACATATTTAAAATTTAAAATTTAATTGTTTATTCGTTTTTTTGCAAAATGAATTCTGGTTAATAAATTATTTTAATAAAACGTTTTAAAAATAGCTGAAATTAATAATAATTTTAAAAAAATTTCAAATATAATTGTTAAACAAAGTTGAACTACTAGTTATCGATAGGTTTATGTGCATATAATATTTTAAAAAAGTCTTGTGGTCGCATCAAATTTCACATGTCAGTTTTTCACCTAAATGCATTTCCGAATACAATAGATACAAGCAAATAATTTTTATCAATATTTTAGTAGAGGGTTGTTTGTCAATCTATCGATCTGTGTATATTCATATCTCAAGTTTCGACTTAATTGATTTGAATGAATATTCACATTTCTTCATTTAA